CTCGGCGCATCGCCATGTGTGCCATGTCTTGATCCTGTCTCGTCATGATTGTTGCATCACTCATCATGGTCGTAGCATCACTCGTTCTGTCAACTCCCGCCTGTGTCGATGGCCGTCCTCGGTTTCAATCGTCGTCTCTCGTTGCATCCAACTCGTCTGCAGCGCCACCAGCTCGCTTGCCCATGATCACACCGATGCCAGATTGATCCCTCTGGATTGGACATGCACCTCAGTGGCAGGACGCTGACCAAAGATCCCTGTGGTCCGGGCACTTCCATGCAAGATTAGGGGCGGTGATCGCTCTGCCACCGCATCGCCTGTCTGATATAAACCTGGCATCAATTCCCCACCACCACACCTCATAGCCAAACCCGCTCAAACACCGCTCCAGCCTCCATTCGGCCGCCCACATACCACTTTCTGATTCCCTCGTTTTGCGCACATCTCCATCGTCACCATGAAGTTCATCATGCTCATCTGCGTCTCGGCCGCTGCCTTCCTCGCTGTTGCTCGCGCTGCCCCCTTCTTTGATCTTTCCCAGCTTGATTCGCACGGCTCCAGCTGTGCCTGGCCTGGCCACTGCGAGGTGCCTCGTGCAACAACTACAACGACTGCTCTGGTGAGCTGATTTGCTCCAAGGGCAAGTGTGCCAAGAAGGATGGCTACTGCTCCTGGAAGGGCCACTGCGAGGGTGCTTCTTGCAGCAGCGAGCACGACTGCTCCGACGATCTCGTCTGCACCAAGGACAAGTGCGCCAAGCCTTCCTGGAAGTCCTCTGCTGCCGTCGAGGGCTCGACCTCTGACGATAGCTGCGAGAGCGGCTTCTGTAAGTATCACCGAAGGTTGGCCGAGCCACATCCCTTTCTGGCTTGTATATTCGGCTGCTTCTCTGACCCAGCTTGCTCACCGATATCTTCATCCGACCTGTCTCAGCCGTCTCCACCTATACCGAGTGTACCTACCTCCGTGCTGAGCTCAAGAAGCTGTTCTGCCAGGATGGTGGCTCCGATCATGCCGTCGCCTGCATGAACGCCGTCGACCACTCCGCCCACCAGTGTGTCAAGGCCGTCGACGACCACAAGACCTTCTGCTTTCCCCGGCACTATTAGGCACTCCGGCACGAGACTGGGCTGAGCTTTCCCGACTCTGTTTGGTTGCGGCCGGCTTCTTCGCCCTCCCCCATTTTTGTACATTAGTCTCGTTGCACTCAGCCGCAGCGGCCTGTCCACAGCAAGTGGCAAGTTGCTGCTGGCGGCGTCCCTGGCTCGTTGGACTAGTCCACCATCAGCCAAGAGCCATGAGGGTTCTGAAACGCATGGCACTCCATGCGCTTGAAGACTTTGGGGAGGGTGGTAGGACATGGCGCGGACAGGCATCGCCCTTGGAGGAGACTCTGTTGTTATATCTACACTTTGAATGACTCAGTCAGCAGGGAGTGAGTCGCTGGTAGGTGTGTGGTTAACTGTCGATTTCTGGCTCTCGAGATTCTCGAAAATCCAGATTGTTAATGCGATTATACACTCAAACTCCGAAAAACCTCACCATCTGTGATCAGAACTGGATATCTCCTTTCATATCGAGAAACTTCATGGCGCTTACATCAACGCTGGTTACATTGGCCGAGGACCAGGGCGATCGTTCTTGGTGATAGACTATGTATGAGCTGAAAGTCCCGGTCAGGAATGTCCTTTTTTTGTTTACGATAGATGTATATTCAAGATTATTCAACCGGCCATGAGCACCATGCGGTACCTAGCAGTGGGCGTTCAAGCAAGCTCACACCCCTGTTGCGGCTCTTACCGACTCTCCAGCCTACACGGCGGACCATGCGGGTACACACTTCCTCCAAGAGGTCCCACAGGGACTCGCATGTCTCCAGGTCCCGCTCGGGGATCCTTTCTCTCTGGCCATGGGAGATCCTCTCAGGGATCTCCTCAAAGCCAATTGTTCGTTGGGCTCGCTGTCGTGGCCTAGTGCCTCTCAGCGTCCCAGTCACTCCATCTGCCTGGCATTCTGCTTGGTGCGAAGAGAGGGTTGTCTCTCCTGCTGGTCGTGGGAAGTGCTATGTCCACCACTCTGTGTAGGTAATCCGCAGTTGAGGTGCAGTGCTCCGTGTGATGTTGAGAGGGCTGTGCGGAACAGCAAGTTCAGGCAGAATGTTTGTGTCCGGTGGAGCCGCTTCTGTTCGTTCTTTGGGATGGCGTCGAGGGCGAGGCCGTATTCCACCATCGGCCAGGAACGTGCGGTATGCAATCGTCAGTGTCTTGGCCGTGAGGTTCCCAAGGGTCAGGCCCATCTTGGTCATGTTGGATGCTGCTTCTCTTGTCCTGGTCACCATTCGGTCCTGGCAGATTGTCGATGAAGGCGCTGAACATGAGTGGGCTCAGCACCGATCCCTGGATCAGTCCTTTCCGGAGCCATGCTGGCTTGGATTTTCGGCCCTTGCTGACCATTTGGATGGATACCCGGTCAAACATGGCTTTGAGGAAGCCGAGGGCGATGCCGTTCATTCTTCGCTGCTTGAGCTTGGTCCAAAGTCGCTCGCGCCATACTGTGTCATAGGCGGCTTTGATGTCGAGGAAGATCAGAGAGTACTCCTCACCGTTCATCTTGTGGTGCTTGATCAGGGTGTCCAGGGCGACGATCTGGTCAAGGGTTCCTCGTCTGGCTCGGAATCCGCCTTGGGCGACGTCCATGTCTCCTGCCTGTTCTGCCAGGAAGGGGAGCATGATCCTTTCCACGATCTTCCTGCAGGTCTGAGTGAGACCGATAGGGCGATAGGGCGATACATGGCCGGGTCCAGGGTCGATCCCTTCTGCTTGTACACTGGGTGGATCAGCACGCTGTTCCATTCGCTTGGCACCACACTGGCCTTGAGCGCCGCCATGATGATCAGGCGGAGCCACTCGGCTATCACTGGTGCGGCTGGTATGAGCATTTCGCTCTTGATCTTGTCGGACCCCGTTGCCTTGCGGCGTGGTGCCTTCTCGATGGTCTCTTGGATGTGCTCCAGCGATACTTCTGGGAGCCGGTTGTCGGGCGGCAGGAGGGTCGCCTCCGTGCTCAGGGGTGGCGGGGTTATACTTCTGTCGTACTCTGTCCCGCTGTCCTGCGAGGCAGAGGATACCTTGCCAAAGTGCACCACGAGTTTCTCGAGAGTCGGATCCGAGTTGTCAAAGAGATGTGATCCCTCTCTCTCCTTCCTCGTGCGCATCGCTCCGATGGTCTTGGTCATCTCGGAGCACTTCTGGGTGTCCATGGTGGCCATGGATTCCTTCCATGACCGTATGCCGTTCTTGCGCTTGAGCTGGGTGATGGCCTTTCTCGTGGACCGAAGCTGACGACGCAGGTCGTCCAACTCTTCCGTGTCGTACTCTGGGGTCTGCTTGATCATCTTGTTCAGGCATCGCCGTTCTCGTTCCAGGCGTCGGATTTCGGGCCCCTGTGTGCCCTCGATCCGACCAGGGCTGATGCTGGATGGCCCCTTGGTAGGTTTCTGTTGTTCTGCGCTTTGGCGACCATCGCTGGCAGTGTGCCAGTCGGCAGGGTGCGGTTCATTATCTGGTGTGCTCTCACCCTGATGATCCCGCGGATATCGAGATCAAGTAAGGACATGCCACTTTTCATATCGCGGAGCTTGTCGCCATCGAACGACAAACAATCCTTTGAGCACGGCCTCGATGATATGGAGCAGCATGGTCTTGCCGTCCTGGGTGTCAACCACAAGGAACATGATCGTTTCCCCGTTGAGTTCGGCGGTCAGTGCCGCATGGTTGTATCGGACCTCGAGCGTCGTCGTGAACATGTCCTCTGCCGAGGCCATGCGCCGTGTGCCATCCAGGAGATTGATGAGAGTGCCATCACTGAACACAACGCTGCCCGCCGATGTGTCCAGGGTGCCCACAAAGGCCTTGTATCCTTGGCGAAGACGGTCTTGAACGACGAGTGGTGGTTGGCGAGTCCGCTACCGTCCTTGGTGATCAAGTCACAGTGGATCTTGTCGATCTGGGCAGCAGTGATTGCTGTGTGGGATCGCATCGATTTGGGCCTGGTAGTAGTGCTTGGCGGCGTTGAGTGCCTTGGGGAATGCCAGGTTTTCGTCTCGAAGGAGACGGTCAAGGATGTTCGAGAGTGGTAGCTCCTTCAACATCGGGAACTCGAACTGGTAGCCCATGGTGGCATCGGCTTTGTCGGTAAACTGGGCAAGGTCATGGGCACTGGCATTGAGGTGGGCATCAATGCAGAAGAGGTCGTTCGTGAGGACGCTCGTATCCTGGCAGAAGATGTGGATCGAGAGGGAGTGGTACTTGTCACTCTTGGACCCAAAGAGTCCTCTCTCAGTCGCCAGGCTGCACTGCAGTGGACTGGTTTCATCCTTGCATAGTCATACCACATACGCTGGTGTGCTCCAGTGTCCCTGGGTCGGATCGAGGGTGGACCAGAAAGCTGCAGTGGCCATTTTCTTCTTTTGGCAGCTAGAGAGGCGGACCTCTGCCCGTTTGGATCCAGGCCATTCGTCGCCTTTGCCATCCTATTGTCGGTCCATCGATGCTGATCAGGGCACGCTGCCTGGTGTCGGATCGAGGGAGGATGGTCTTGGTGCCGGGGAAGGCTGGTGGCTTGCTGCCTGCTTTCTCTGGTATCCTGTGGCGAGGGATGTCTGGGTCGTGCTAACTCTTTCCACTATCTTTGGTTATAGAATGAGTATCGATTGTGAATGTCGAGTTGTCGTTGTCGGGTCATCGGATGTTTCCTCTCGGTCGATCAACATCAGCGATTCTTATGGGACAGCACTATTTGCATATTGGATGTATTGAATGTATTGAATGTCAAATACAACATCACTCGGCCATTGCCGCTCAATCGGAACCACTCTGCAAGTCCACTCTTTGGCATCGTGGTGGTTGGGGTGGGTGTTGGCGGCGCGGTTTGCTTGGCTGCTTGCTTGTTCAGTGTTGCGACTTGTTTGTTTGGGAGTGGGACTCGGGAGGCACTCGGGATCAGGGCCACTTGCCGAGTGCCTTGAGGTTGTCGATGGCATCTTGCCATCCCTGGTCGGCGGATTTGCGATACCAGAAGACGGCGGTGTCGATGTCCCGGGGGACACCACGGCCATATTGGTAGCAATAGCCGAGCCAAAACTGACCGTATCGATTGCCCTGTTCGGCCGACTTGAGGAACCACTCGACTGCCTTGCGTTCGTCCCCGGTAACTCCGTATCCGTAGTAGTAGCAATTACCAACCCTCCACTGCCCATAAGAATTGCCTTGGCTGGCCGACTTGAAGAGCCACTCGAGTGCCTTCTCGTAGTTCCTCGATACTCCCCTGCCAAAGCAGTAGCAAATTCCGATCCACAACTGACTGTCACTGTGGCCTTCGTTGGCGAGCTGCTCGAATATGCCGATTGCCTTCTTCTTGTCCTCGGTGGTTCCGAATCCATGGAACACACACACAGCCATCAAATGCCTGCAGAGCCAGTCACGGTCCGATCCCAGCTGGCAAACCTGGAAGAACTTGCAGGCTGCGGGTGAGTTGGATGAGATCGAACTCCAATATGCCAGACACTCGGATTCCCCAAGGCCGAACTCATCCGATTGGTTATCTCGGATGATCCTGACGCCTTCCTGCTTGTCCTGCGTGATACCCCGGCCGAGGTAGTGCATCCAACCGACCATGTGGGTGGCGATGGATTTGATGACTGGGTCGGTGGATTGGGTGCTGACTTCATGCCAGTAGTTGAAGGCAGTTTCATCGCTCTGTTCGACACCATGGCCGATGAACGAGAACCATCCTCGGAGGAACACGATGTGGAGTCGACCGTCTTCGCTGCCTTGATCTGCGGCCTTGGAATACCACTCGATGGCCGTGTCGTAGCTTTGTTCGACACCTTCGCCGCTCTCGTAGCATCGACCAAGAGCGACCTGAGCCCGAGGAATTCCACGATCTGCAGGACCACGGTATAGCTCCGCGGCCTTGGTGTGATCTTTGTCGACTTC